AAGGGAAAAACCTAAATTTTTAATTTATTTGGCCCTTTTTTTTTTTTTTTTTTGTACTGGGGATTGAACTCGGGACCTTGTACTTGTGAGGAAGGTGAGACAAGAGAAATCTTATGAACTGGTCTTTTAGGGGAAAGACACAGAAGATATAAATGACAGTGTCAGTGAGTATTTTGAAAGCAGTAGAGAGAAATTTTCTAGGCACAGAATTTGTAATTCTGTGTAATTTGTAAACAATTACATTAACTTATTGGGTGAAAAAAATTACCATTTTCTATATTGCATAAATAATTTCCAAAGCAGAAATATCACCTTTCTAAATATTTGTCATTTATTACTCAAACATATTACTACATACCAGGATGTTTGCTTATTTAATAAAAATTTAGCATATTGACTGACTTTTCATTTTTATCTCCAGATGTTTTAGTATCTTGTAGATAAGGCCTTAAGATGTTTTCAGTTAAGTGTTTTAGATGAATCACTAAAATGTTATGTGTGAAATAGTAGCACATCTCAACAGTTGGCTTTGTAACGAAACAAATTTTGATCCTGGGCCTCTTACAAAAACCGAACGTTTTTTAAGGCCATCAAAAAATGAAACAAAATCCAAATCAAAATGGTGATACTCATACTTCCTGGTATGTTACTATTGAAGTTTCTCTCATTTTTGGATAGCCTATAAATATCTAATATGCACATATGCAAAGTTTTTGTTTGGGTTGGGGAATGTTACCTGGGGAGGCAAAACACTAAAGGTCACTAAATGTTCTTTGAAGGTCATGGATTGTCTACTTTTCTTTAAAAATATCTGCTGTTTGTTTTTTGGGTTTTATTTTTATATTTACAAGGATGGCATTTAATCTCTCGTGTTTCTTAAGGCTTCTTCTAGAATTCTGGAAGTATAATCTTGCTTCTAGCAAGGACTTTTTGCAGTTTTTTCTGTCTGTAACTAATAACTATATGTTGAAAGAGTAGACTACAAATGTTCCTAAAATTTGTACTTTATTTCTCTGGCTCTTTAAAGCAAAACAAGTGAATGCTCTTCACTTCTCCCTGGTCATGCATGGGATGTTTTAGTAACTCCAACATTCTCCCTAGAATGAGGTGGCCCTTTGCCTTTCCTGTTTATCTTTCCTATTCATCCACCACATTTGGGTTTCCAAAGGAAAGCTCAAAACTCTAATATGCAAATTTTTCTCCAAGCAAGTAATTGTAAAAATCCTAAGATAATTTTATTGGAATTTCATTATTATTTCCAAGAAAAGCTTCTTTGGGCCAAGTTCAACCCTCTTATTACCAACACAAAATTGTCACTGACAATCACAAGAGTCTACATAAATGTGTGGGAAGGAATCTGGCCTGTGAAGAATGGAAAGAAACTGTATAGCATGAATGTCTTAAGTTCTGAATTTTTTGCCAAAGCATTCAGCTTCATCCCAAAGAAATCAGAAAGAAATACAAGTTGAAATCTCTTATTTACCTGAGATCTAAAACTAAATCAAATCAGTTCCCACCTGTTTCTTTCAGCAACTCCAGCTTTGGCTTATACCATCTTTAGAATCACCAGTCAAAATTGCTTCCTTTGGGGTTTTGGCTCAGTGGTTCTGCCACCTGCCTCTAGGTACAAGGACCCGAGTTTGATCCCCAGTAAAAAAA